CAACGAGCAGGGCTCCAGGTGAGTAAACAAGTAATCGTACCCCTTAGAGGGGACAAAGTATTTTCTCTCTCCCCCCTTCGCTGTTGGGGGAATGCAGGCAGGGGTTTGCCACAGAGTTTTAGTTTTGACGTGGGGCAATGCCACCCTTGATGGCCCCTCTGGGGCCATAATGTCAACCATCGGGTCTTCCGATTCGACTACCTCCTCGGCCTACAGCCCCATATTGTGAGCCAATATGCAGGCTCTGTGCAGCAGGTCCTGGTGCACTCCACTGTCAATAGGGAGTGGCCCAGAGGAGGAAGTCCCCACCACTGTTTTATCCGGGGAGGACGATGATGAGGCCAGAGGAGGCACCGGGCATTCCTGGCCCTCCCTGGGTATATCCTGCTCTGTACCATGCTCCTCGGTGCCAATCTCAAGTTCAGCACCGGTGGCAGACTTGGGATCTGGACATGGCTGCATAGCCTGTATTGATGTCATTGCGGAGCCCCAAGAGGTGGGACAACTTGTGGCTGGCAGGGGAACTCGTGGTTCTGACACCACGGAGTGGGAACCTTTGGAGCGAGTGCCTTCGGTCTGGTGGTAAGCCCTCGGTGTCTAAAAGTGCCACCATGCGGGCACCTGCCACTGCACTTGCCCTGACACTACTCCCATGTCCTGCCTTCTGTTGCGGTCCCACTGGCACCAACTATGAGTTGAATAACAGGACTCTGCCTCTGAGTCAGATGATGTGGATCTGGAGCGTGAAGCCATTCCAAGCGGGGCAGTGCCGGGGATCAGTGCCACATGGCCAGTGCCATGGGGAGCAGTGACCTCCACATCAGTGCAGGCTTGCCTCTAGACATCGCCCTGCATTGCAACACCAGAAGTCTATCCCAGCTGGTAGTGGACTGCAGCCTCGAAAGTGTCCAGGGTGGACGGGAGTTCCAGCTCCTGCACCGGGCACCTGTGCTGAGCAGAATCCACTCAACGGTCCTCCTCGGGGCTGAGGTCAACGGGGCTGACTCCTGTGTTGTCGGCGCTGGGTGCTGGACGCACTCAGGCACCACTGGCTGATCCGGCAGCTTTTGGTATGGGAGAGTATCCCATTCTGTTTTCCTGTGCCTCTTATGCAGCACTGGGGAGTGTGAGCAGTGCTGCGCTGCCTCCACTGGCTTCGATGCTGGGAAGCGTCGGTGCCGAGGGTCTCTTTGACCAGAGTCCTTCCTCGCCCAGAGGCTGGGCTACTCTGCACATAGGTGCTTGGTGCCGGATCCTGCTCGGTGCTGGATTCCATCAGGATCTGTTTCAGCATGAAGTCCTGCTCTTTCTTCGTCCTCGAGCAGAACCCTTTGCAAATCTTGCACCATTCTGTTTGGTGCACCTCCCCCAGACACTTGAGACAAGAGTTGTGGGGGTTGCCTGTTGGTATGAGCTTATGGCAGGTTCCACAGGAGGAAAAGGAGGAAAGGGAATCTGGGGTGGGGAAAAGCCCCCACTCCTACTAAAACTAACAACTGAACACTAAACTTCAACTATTTACAAAACTAAGCTATTAGACTACAAAACTAGGGGAAACACTTGCAAGAGCAAGTGACTCCAGTTCCAATGACGATCACTGGCGGTAAGAACTGAAGAGGCAGCAGGTCAACAGGGACCTATATTCACTGCCATGAAGGTGCCCCTCCAGGCACCATGAAGGCGCCACTCCAGGGTGTTCCATAGCTGACCCAATGGGTGCTGCTAGGGGAAAAACCTTCCGACGACTGTACATGCAGCGCGCACACACCTAATTGGAATCGACATGAGCAAGCACTCGAAGAATAATATCTTTTATTAGACCAACTTCTGTTGGTAAGACAGACAAGCTTTCAAACTTACACAGAGCTCTTCTGGGAAATTTATTCAGTGTCACAGCTAAATACAAGGTGGAACATTGTCACGCTGTCTGGAGTGGCTAATGACTGTAAATGCCAACTTCAGAGCAGAATGTCAAAAAGCCAGGTAGACACCCCAAACTGGTGGTATGCTCTATAATTAGACTTCACTAACCCAGTAACAAATGTGTACTCCTAAAGCACTATAACAATCTTACTTCAGAATCACAGAGATTCCAGTCTATCTTGCCATCCAGGCAAGCTGGACTTAGAGACAAATGGTCACTCACACCAAAGATCAAAAAATATCAAAAAATTTATATCAAACCAGTTTCTGCAGAACATGAAACTGCAGGTTTAAGAATGGAAATATGTTGCTACAGTGGCAAATTTCAAACATAATTATATTCCTTCAAATTCTAACCATTTCTCCTTAGTTATCTCAAATAGTAAGCAGTTTGATTTTTGCACACATTCTGAAAAGGAAGAATAAGATGTGTACTATTCCAGAAATGAAATCAGAAAGCTAATGTCTTTCAGAAGCAAGGACTGGGACCCCAAATATTGTTTATAGATTCATAGATTCCAAGGCCAGAAGGGACCATTTTCATCCTCTCGTCTGATCTCCTGTATAACACAGGCCACAGAACTTCTCCAAAATAATTCCCACCGCGTATCTTTTAGAAAAGAATCCAATCTGGATAGGAGAATCCACCACACCCTTGGTAAATTATTCCAATAGTTACTCTCACCATTGAAAATTTACATCTTAGTTATTTCCAGTCTGAATTTATCTAGTTTCAACTTGCCACTGAATCATGTTATACCTTTCTCTCCCAGACTGAAGAGCCCATTATCAAATATTTGTTCCCTATGCAGATACTTACAGATTAATCAAGTCACCCTTAACTTTCTCTTTGTTAAACTAAACAGACTGAGCTCTTTGAGTATCTCACTATAAAGCATATTTTCAATCATTTAATCATTATTGTTGCTCCTCTCTGAACCCTCTCCAATTTACCAACCTCCTTCTTGAATTGTGAGGGACCAGAAATGGACACAGTATTCCAGCAGCGGTCCCACCAGTGCCAAATACAGAGGTAACATAACCTCTCTACTCCTACTCAAAATTCTCCTGTTTATGCATCCCAGGATCACATTAGCCTTTTTGGCCACAGCACCACACTATGGGGCTCATGTTCAGCAGATTATTTACCATGACCACCAAATCTTTCTCAGAGTCATTGGTTCTCAGGATAGAGTCCCTCATCCCCTAAGTATGGCCCACATTGTTTACTCTGTTATAATATTTACATGTCGCCATATTAAAATGCATATTGTTTGTTTGCACCCATTTTTACCAACCGATCCAAATCGCTCTGAATCAGTGTACTGTCATTTTCATCATTTATCACTCCCCAATTTGTGTCATCTGCAAACAATGATGATTTTATGTTTTCTTCACTGATAAAACTATTACATAGCATAGGGCCAAGAACTGATCCCTGCAGGACCACACTGGAAACACACTAATTGTATGACAATTCCCCATTTACAGTTACATTTTGAGACCTATCCAGTTTTTAATCAATTTAACGTGTGCCATGTTAATTTCATATTGTTCTAGTTTTTTAATCAACATGCTCTGCCGTACTAAGTCAAACATTTTACAGAAGTCTATTACATCAACATTATTGCCTTTTATCAACCAAACATGTAGTCTCATAAAAAAAAGAGATATGAAGTTAGTTTCACAGGACCTATTTTCTATAACCCATTTTCATTTATATTAAATTACATTACACTCCTTTCATTCTTAAATAAGTTCTGTATCAGCCATTATCTAGCCTAGGATCCATGTCAGGCTGACAGGCCTATAATTATCTGGGCCATCCCATCTACCTTTTTAAGAATTGGCACATTAACTTTCTTCCAGTCTTCCGGAACTTGCCCAGTTCTTCAAGACTTATTAAAATCAACATTAATGATCCAGTGAGCTCCTCAGCCAGTTCTTTAAAACTCTTGCATGCAAGTCATCTGGATCTGCTGCTTTAAAAACATCTAACTTTAGTAGCTTCTGTCTGACATCTTACAGAGATACTAGCGGAATGGAAAGAGTGTTATCGTCACCATATAATGAGACTACATAATTTATTTTTCCCCCTCTAATAAAGAATATTCATTGAACATTTCTGCCTTTCCTGCATTACTATTGATAATTCTGCCATTTCCATCTAGAAATGAACCAATACCATTTTCAGGATTCATTTTGTTCCTAATATATTTAAAAAAAAAAACAACCCTCCTGCTTATTTTCCTTATCTCTGCTGGCTATAGCCGCCTTCTGCTTGTGCCTCTTTGCTTCCCTTTGATAATTTACACTAACTTTTTCATGCTCAGGGTTGATTTTGCGTCTTACATGTCCAAGTCATACCAAAATGCTCAGACAAACAGGAAAATAACCTTGATGGAAACAGAGGGGACAATATTCTCTACTTCATTCAATATATTTGTAATTTACCCAGGATTTAGGACTGTATGATGCAAAAAATGATAATCAAAATAGTTGAAAATTTAAATACAAAAATGTGAGGACATTCAGAATTATGGATCCATAGCAATTTTAACGTGACCACATGTGGTATTTTATATTACTATGCAGTTTGTCAGAGCTACAGTTACAGTGAGAACTGTAATTTTGGATGTTCTCTGTGCATTTGACCACTGTTTTATATCTAGGGTTTACAGTTTCATTTGTTTTACTCTATAGAGTAAACCACCACAGCCGATGTTTTAAAACAACAAAAATCCTTAAATTATTTGAATGAATGACCCAGTACTGTGTCTACTTCTGTGATAACTTAAAATTACCAAATGAAATTACCAAATTTGCCCTTATGGACTGAAAATAAGTAGAAGACATTTCAGCCCAAAGGTTAATTTCTAGAACGTGAGAAGTAACCAAAAAATAAGAATGCACCTTCTACCCTAATAAAACCACAGCTGCCATGTTTTTGTAATATTCTTGTACATAAAGTTAAATGTGTTGGAAATTGTTTCACATAAAGTGCTATGTTTAATTGTTTTATTAGAGTATTATGCTACATTCATCTATTTCCCCCACCCCAAGAAAAAAAAAATTACCTGAGCAAGGTCTTTTTGTTCATTTACTAGTCTGCTGCAGCTAGCTATCATCTGGTCCAATGCATAAAGCCTGTCCTCAAGCCCTTTAATCGCCTTCATGTTCTGATTATCTAGTTTGGCAATAGTTTGTCGACATTCTACCAAAAAGGGCTGAATGATCTTTGGATCAAGCTAAAAGATGGAAGAAAAGAGAGACTGTAATTATACATATATTTAGTGGCTTTTAAAAAACATACTTCACACTGCATACAACAGATTTCAACTCATTAATAAAGAGACGAGGACAACACTGACGTTGAATGATTGGTGCAGAGCAAAAAAAAATAAATTAAAATAAAAAAATGAAATTAATGTTACAGAGAAAACAAAATATCAAAAATTCATCCAAATTATTTTGCTCTCTTAGGGTATGTCTACACTGAAGCCTAGAGAGGAGGTGGGCTTCAGAGCCCAAGCTCCAACAGGAGCCCCAACAGCTAGTTTTAGTGCCATAGTAGGAGCCTGAGTCTGTAGATTCAGACTCAGACTCACTACAGCAGGCTGCTGCTTACTGTGCAGATGTACCCACAGTTCCTTAACTTTTGATTTAGTTTTTCACTGGGAGTTTCTTCTGTAGCCCACATTTTGTTGTTGTTATTGTTATTTTACAATTTAGTCTTTGTTCTTACTTGTGGCATAAAATTAGAAATAATTTGGGAACTATTAGGACTATGCAATCCAGGTCCTTGAAAATGGAATAGTGATTAATTTTTAAAAAATAGAAAACTAAAGTGACAGCTCTTCATAAAATAGGCAGATCTCTTCACGAACAAATAATTGAGGATGTTACAGATCTGTACCACCTCTGCTTACATTTAAAACTTTTACTAAATTTAAACTAGTCACAATTTTTTTGCTGGAGGAAAAGTTTGACTCATCCACCCTTACAAGCCCACTATCACCAACAGATGTTAAAAGAGTAGAGTAACATCTACAGGGCTTTGGAGTTATTCCTCCAATTCAACTTCAAAATTAGTGAAAAAAAGGAGAGCCTTTCAATACAAATTCTTCAGAAATTACTGTTTCAATGGAACACAGATCTGAATAAACTAATTAAGAGCATAGAGCATGTCACCCTTGGGTAGTGTGACATAACAATTCATCTAAAACAGCTACTGCAAACCTGATGTTGCAAGAGAGTTCAGTAAAACTTATCTTTAGGGAACTACTCTAACATTTAGTCACATGGGAACGCTCACCGTGAAGTCTATGATACCAGATACATGAGTGAATGCTTACATGAAGAAAATGCCTACATAAAAGCCAGGAGTACATAATCTGGGACGTAAGATATTGTAGCAAATGCCAGTATTGCTGCAAATGTTGTGGGATGTAAAAATGTGAAACTTTGAAGGAGGGATACTACAACAAAGAAGTACTAGAGTTCAAGACATCCCCATTTACTCCAAAATAAATAATAATAATAATAAAAAGGAAAGTGGAAAAAACAAAGCAAGTTGGAAAGTGATTGAACTTGGAAAAAAAATAGAATCAGCCTGAATTTCCAGAAGAAAATATTAGTGCAAAACAGCTGAAATTAAATAGCCACAACACATTTCAAATGATACAATTTTTCAGGTATTTAAAAGGGTGTCATAAGGAGGAGGGAGAAAACTTGTTCACCTTAGCCTCTAAGGATAGAACAAGAAGCAATGGGTTTAAACTGCAGCAAGGGAGGTCTAGGTTGGACATTAGGAAAAAGTTCCTGTCAGGGTGGTTAAACACTGGAATAAATTGCCTAGGGAGGTTGTGGAATCTCCATCTCTGGAGATACTTAAGAGTAGGTTAGATAAATGTCTATCAGGGATGGTCTAGACAGTATTTGGTCCTGCCATGCGGGCAGGGGACTGGACTCGATGACCTCTCGAGGTCCCTTCCAGTCCTAGAATCTATGAATATTACAGGATTTTTTTAAAAGCTTTTTGAGACGTCATGAAAGGCAGTTTTAAAACTGACCTACCTTGCTATGTCTTTCTAAATGAACTATTTGTACTAAGGGTTCTCAAAGATTTTCAAATACTGGACAAACTCTTAACAGAGTCGTCAACTGAATCCTCCTCCCAATTACAATCCCATTCATGACTATATATCGTCCTTGTCGCAACTAGAACAGTTGTTTACATGGAAAAGTAATATTAGGGAAGTACATTATTTTTAACTAATGCAGTTTGTTTTTGACCTTTTGGAACAAAAAGGATCTGTTTCTCTCATTTCACTCTTCTGCACATACTACCCTGCTGTCTGATCTCCTCTCTGCCCACCTTCTCCTGCTGCCTTTGACTCTAGTCCCATTTGCAGGATCTGGCTCCTCCTTCATTGGTAGATAGCAATTTCTGTCTATGGTAATTTCTTTCCCACCCCCTCCTGATTACATAGCAGCAGCCCTAATAGAAGCAACTACATTAGCTCCTTGTTGCCAACTGCTTTTACAAGAAGCTACACTTTTTGCATTAAGAGTCTGGATGTCTATAGAAGCAGTTAGAAGCAAGGAGCCAACACCATGCAGCATATACTAGTTCTCCCTGGATCACCAATGGTCACAGACCAGAGCTTGGAAACCACTGCTCTACAAAGAATTCGAACAACAGGAAGAATTCCATAAAGGAGATTAGCAAGAAATGCCATCATAAATCAGTTGCATGGTTCACATTTCTAAATAGCAAGTGAAAAAAAAAATCAATAAGTTAATGCTAGCCTATTCCAGTTTTACATGTCAAAATGTCATCTCAGGATAAACATAATACCAAATAAGCATTCTGCCACAGGATATGTATTTAGATATTAGGCCTGTCAAGCGGTTAAAAAATTAATCATGATTAATCACACTGTTAAACAATAATAGAATACCATTTATTTAAATATTTTTGGATGTTTTCTACATTTTTAAATATACTGATTTCAATTACAATACAAAGTGTACAGTGCTCCTTTACATTTATTTTTGATTACAAGTATTTGCACTGCAAAAAAACCAAAAGAAATAGTATTTTTCAATCGCACTAAAGTACTTGTTTTAGGTGAATCTCTTTACCACGAAACTTGAACTTTCAAATGTAGAATTATGTAAAAAAACTGCATTCAAAAATAAAACAACGTAAAATTTTAGACCCTGCATGTCTACTTAGTCCTACTTCTTATTTGGCCAATTGCTCAGACAAACAAGTTTGTTTACATTTGCAGGAGATAATGCTGCCTGCTTCTTGTTTACAACGTCATCTAAAAGTTAGAACAGGCGTTCTCATGGCACTGTTGTAGTCGGTGTCGCAAAATATTTACGTGCCAGTTATGCTAAAGATTCATATGTCCCTTCATGCTTCAACCACCATTCCAGAGGAAAATACGTCCATGCTGATGACGGGTTCTGCTCGATAACAATCCAAAGCAGTGCAGACTGATGCATGTTCATTTTTATTATTCGAGTCTGATGCCAACAGCAGATGGTTGATTTTCTTTTTTGGTGGTTCGGGTTCTGTAGTTTCCACATCGGAGTGTTGCTCTTTTAAGGCTTCTGAAAGCATGCTCCACACCTCATTCTCTCAGATTTTGGAAGGCACTTCAGATTCTCAAACTTAGGGTCGTGTGCTGTAACTATCTCACACGGGTACCTTTTTTGCGTTTTGTGAAATCTGCAGCGAAAGTGTTCCTAAAATGAACAACTTGTGCTGGATCATCATCAGAGACTGCTATAACATGAAATATATGGCAGAAAACAGGTAAAACAGAGCAGGGGACATACAATTCTCCCCCAAAGGAGTTCAGTCACAAATTTAATTAATGCATTTTTTTTTTTAATTGAGCGTCATCAGCATGAAGCATATCCTTTGGAATGGTGGCTGAAGCATGAAGGGGCATATGAATGTTTAGCATATCTGGCACGTAAATACCTTGCAGTGCCAGCTACAAAAGTGCCATGCAAATGTCTGTTTTCACTTTCTGGTGACACTGTAAATAAGAAGCGGGCAGCATTATCTCCTGTAAATGTAAATAAACTTGTTTGTCTTAACGATTGGATGAACAAGTAGGACTGAGTAAACTTGTAGGCTCTGAAGTTTTACATTGTTTTGTTTTTGAGTGCAGTTATATAACAAAAAAAATCTAAATTTGTAATTGCACTTTCATGACAAAGAGATTGCACTATAGTACTTGTATGAGTGAATTGCAAAATACTACACCTCTACCCCAATATAATGCGACCCAATATAACACGAATTCAGATACAACGTGGTAAAGGAGTGCTCCGGGAGGGGGGGAGGGCGGGGCTGCGCACTCCGGTGGATCAAAGCAAGTTTGATACAACGCGGTTTCACCTATAACGCGATAAGATATTTTGGCTCCCAAGGACAGCGTTATATCGAGGTAGAGGTATGTATTTTATCATTTTTAAGGTGCAAATATTTGTAATAAAAATTTTACACTTATTTCAATTACAAGACAGAATACAATATATATGAAAATGTAGAAAAACATCAAAAATATTTAATAAATTTTAATTGGTATTCTATTGTTTAACAGTGCAGTTAAAATTGCGATTAATGTTTTTAATCGCGATTATTTTTTCTAGTTAAATCGCTTGAGTTAACTGCAATTAATCGACAGCCCTATTAAATATCTTTTTTTCCAGTTCCAGATTAGTTCTGATTTCAAAGTTTAATTTTAAATCGAGGGTGTTCAAATACTCAGCTGTTTGTTGTCTGTGTTCTCGTTGAAACAAGATAAATTAAAATGTTCTATCTGCAACTAAATACTCTCATGCTGCTTTGATGTTTTTATTCTGGGAAAAAATAGGTCAAAACCGATCAAGCACCTACATTTTTTCTGCTTATGGACAGCATTACTCTCCAAAGAGATGCAAAAATCTGGTTGAAAGCTTTCAAAATAAATTAACATATAAAATTATTTTCATAACTGGAAGTAGACCAACTTTATTTTAAACAGGAATCATCTCAGTTTTCAGCCTTTGTGAATATTTACAGAAGGCAATTATTCTTAAGTAATTACAGGTCAGACATAATTGCAGGTAGTTCCCAATACAAAATATAAAATTTTAAAAATCTGATTTAAACTAAGAATTACATATTACAACTAGTAAGTAAGAAATGAGAAAGGATTCATGAGGAAGAGGTTTTTAATAGGCTACAAAGGTCACTAGTTAAAATCAAGAAAAAGATAAGAAAGTTATTAACAAACAACCATCTAAAAACTACTCAGAGCATGGTGCTTCTCTACTGAAGACAGAAATGGAACACCCAGCTAGATATAAGCTACTCTGAGAACATATCTATATCCATCTGCTGGTACAAATGTCAAACCCATTTAATGAGCTCAATTTTTTTTCTTGTGTTTTTAACATGATAGAGGATTTAATCTTTTTTGTTTAACAGAAATTATGTTCTACACCTGAGAGACCAGGAACATCCTCAATTTCACACAGGTTTGGGTATATTTTGTTGGGTAAGTAACATCACAAAGTTAGCGAAGAAAACAAAAATGTGTTACCATGCTAGACACAAACATAAATGCTCCTTTTTATTTAAAATAAATAAATAAATAAATAAAATGTTTTAGACAACTATTCTCATGAAATTATAACAAATCTAAGGATGGCCAAATTTTCAAACTAAGCAGCCCTCTAATTTTTTCTTCTGCATTTTCTCCTTTGTTTCAAATGCAGAAAATTGCAGGAGAAACAAAGTTAAAACAATTAAAGTCAGTTCAACATTTACTTCAACAGCAGCAGCATCTGGAAACCAAACAGAAAGATTAAATGGGACATTCCTATTATTTCATTAAGACATCTTTTTTAAGTGTGAACTTACTCTGCTCATAGAATCAAAACATTTTCTGACTAATGATTCCACATCATTAGGTCTATCTTGAACATTTATCCAGTCCAACAGAGAGACATTGAAGGAAGGCAGATCACTCTCGTTAAGCTCTTCTGAAGTTTTACTGTTCTCAACAGTAATGTTTTGACTGGATTCCCTATTTTCTTTGACATTTCCAGGATCTGTGCTGTCCAGGGCTGAATGTTCCACAGACTTGCAAAATGAGGCTAAAAGTGATTTATTGTGCACTCTAGGTATATCAGAAGAAAGCACCAGTTCAGCAGACTTCTCATCTTCAGTTTCTTCACTTTCTGCCCCTCCATGCCCAACAGAAGAATCCAATCTTCCTAAACACTCTCTGTAACTATGTCTGGTTAGGCACTCCAGCAGTGGGATCTTGGACATTATAGAAACAGCTGTCCCCAAGCTTTAAAATAAAGGACAAACAAAACATCTATCAAGAAACTAATCTTACAAAAAGTTTAAGGTAGACAATTTTTTGTTGCAGATTTTTAATTTTTTGGTGCAGAATTCCCCCAGGAGTAAGCTTTTAAGAAAGCTATAGGGAATGAATGTTCTAATGTATTAAGTTACCTACTGTATGATACCAAATACAACAAAAGTAGTACAAATGTACAGAATTCAGAACTTCTACTGGTTTACTAAGAATTAATTGTGGAAATATAAAATCATAAAAACTTATTTTTAAATGCAGTGATTGTGTGGAGCACTTTCTTATTGAAGAGTCTAACAGCAAACCTACTGTGTGAGTTTCAGCTTAATATCATCTATGGACTGCAGATAGTTTGAATATGCATTTTCAAACTTGAAAAGCAGCTTTTGATAAGAATATGTGCAATCTTCCAAATTGGCCATTATGGCAGCCCAGCCTTGGTGCTGAAGATGTTCATCATGGACCAGACCTTCACAAAAGGAACAAAGCTTCTTTGCAACCTCATACATTTCCTATGCCAAAAAAAAAAGAAAAGAAAAAAAGTAAATTAAACAGAATTAAGTTATCAATCTAAACCTGTACTCAATGCAGTAATGCATTCAATGCAGTACACAAATGTTTATCATACTTCACAAAAACAATGGACTGTGACACCTAACAGAAAATTAAACACTGAAAGCATAAAAGGAAGTGTTTAAATATGAACAGTTGTTTGGCCCTCATCCCTAAAAACATTTACTGAAAGTAATACAAACTTCCTTTACATTTATTTTATTTTTTTAACAAAAATTGTATTAGATGACAGAAACTCAGTTTACTCAAGACTTTTTACTGGATGTCATATTAATCCAAAAGAAAGCAAGACAGTCCTGGCCCCAGAAACCTACAACATAAATTAGTCAATACTGTTCCAACAAGAAATCAGATCAAATATCAAAGCAGTGTACATTATCACTTTTTATGCACATATGTATTATGCTATATATTTTTTGGAGTATGGGGTTTGCAGAAGAGGCAAACTCAGGAGGAAAAACATTTTGATGAAGAAGTGGTTATCTGGCTCATAACAAAGGGTAGGAAATCTAAATGTAAAGAGGCAGCTTGGAAAATAGTACAGCAAGGAGGAGGGCAGGTTGGAAGATGTGTAGGAGGTGAGGAAATTAATCAAAGGAAGATTTAAATTATGGTAATTCTTAACAAACCAGGTGCAATGTGAGTAGCAATGAAAAGTGCCCACAATGCAACTGGTGAACATCACAAATTTATTTCACATGTCATTTAACAGCCATCAAGAGTTTTGTTATCATCAACCCAAGGTACAGCTGAATCGGACATTAAAAACTCTGCATCCTATTAACAATGTACTGAAATACTGCCCCTTTACAACTTGTTTTGTTTTGCTTTTCAAGTTTAAAAACTGCACATTTTCCTATTGTAATGGTGTAAACAGGAAATGTACTAATTTACAGCTAACAGTTTAGAAAGCAAAAGGTATTTAAATTTAGGAAGATAATTACATTATAGAAGGGAAGATAACTAAAAGGAAGTCTTTTGGCTTTCACCCCAATCTTTACATACCTTTGAAGTTGCATATTCTGTTAAGAAATGTCCTCCTGATTATACTTATGTGTTTGGTTTTAATATCAACCTCTCTACCTATGAAAAAAAGAAAGGAAAGAAAACAGTAATACTTATTGTAGATTCCACACTTAACTAAGCGGTGACTGCACATCATCCACGGTCAACTGTACACATGTACAGCTTTGTGTGTGGAAGCTAGAATAAGATTGATTTTCTTTTTTTAAGTTATTCAAATATGGTGAGATCAATATTAAAACCCAAACACATAAGCATTCTTCAGAATACATTTGCTACTGAGTGTGTGATGATGTAGTACATTAAATTCTTGGCCAAAATGTTAGGCATTTTATTCTAGAAAGATAATCTACCATTGTTTAGCTCCCAATTTTTAAGTTACTTAGGCATTGTTGCGCTCAGCGCTGTAACACCTGCTTTAGAAGCCTAATCTCATTTTCAAAAGCCTGACTCTCAGTGATGGTCAATCAGATTTTGGCTCCTAATTGCCTAAATTCCTTTTGAAAATGAGACAGGCCCCTAAATCAGTCAGGTGTTGTAACACTCAGAGCTGCAAAACCTAAACATTTTTAAACATGTAGGCCTCTCAGAAAATGTTATAATTGATTTTAAAACATGGTGCAACTATTCAGATCCCACTTCAAGTCTCTAGCAACATGACAATATTCCACTACATCCAACTTAACAACCTTTGGAACATTGCTATCTTCCAAACTATTGGTAAAATGAATTCTTGGGTAGCACCTGTGTTTATAAAGCTGTGTATTTATACAGTCTTCAGGAAAACCTGAAGATTTCACAGTAAAGTCTCGCAAACACTTAAAAGAAAAACACTTCACCATATATATAAACATATTTTGGGATACATTCTTAAATTTGTTTCTGTACACCAGAAACTCGAGGAGGTGTCCAATAGGCTGGAATTGCTGCTACTCTGTTGTCATACTAAGCCACTGGAAGAGGGGATAGTTTACCCCATACTGTACATTACTCCTAAGGGAATTCTGCACCACTGCACAATGCAGAATTTTGCAGAAATTAACATTGTGCATGCAGAATTTCCTTTGCCCCCACAGAAATGAGCTGCAGTGCTGCTAGGCACCACTAGGTGCCACTGGATTCAACAGAGCCCAGCTTGCACATACAAGACACTGCTGCGGGGAGGGAGAAGGAGCTTGAGGGTTCCTGGCAGCTGCAGTTTCCAACATGCCCTGAGGGAAGGAGAGGGCACAGGAAAGACCATAAAAGCCTGTGACCAAGCATCAGGCTGTTTCTCCCTCTGGATCCCTAGGCTCTGGGGGGAGGGAAGGGAGCAGGGAGAATGGTTGTCTGGGAAAGGGGGGAGCCGTGGCTAGGCTCTGGGAGGGGATGGGGTGCAGGTATATTGGCTGGGAGGAGCTCCGCAGGTGCGCTCTGGGGGGAAGGGATTGCGGGTATCTGCCCCCCCCTACCCCCCCGGGCTGGCCTCTTAGGGGGAGGCGGTGGAAGGGGGCAGATAAACAGGAACTGGATTGTCATAGGGGTTTCTTTAAATCTCTACTCCTGGGGGAATTTTTGTATGTGTCTGTATTGTTACAGACATACTTGCTGACAGACATTTTTAAATAAATTATCAAAATAATTGAAACTAGAGTGATTAAGTAGTGTTATTTTGACAAATTACATTTGCATAATGTTGATTTTTTTGGTGCTGAATGCCCCAAGGAGTATTTATATATGAAAGAATGTAACAGGACTAAAAACAAGCTACCAAGATAGCAAAGTGCCCCACTGTGTTCACTGTAGGGTAAGCATGTATAAAGAAAGCATTTACCTTTTGACACCACCCAGTTATATTCCTCTTTTCACCACAAAAAAATACCATCAAGATGTTTAATAAAGAAAAGTGAGAGCATGTACAAAGATCCATAAGATTTCAAGGGTGCCTAAACCAAACACCTGCAAAACGAGAATTTGACATCCACAAACAGATTTACAGAGCAATTCCTTCAACTGAATACCATGGCATGGTACATTGAAGGTACATGCTGAGAAGTCTAAAATCAGTTTCCCCCATCAGCTTGATGACCATCTGAGCAAGAAGACTTCTCTCTATTCAGGAAAAAAGATTGGATGCCTCCCACATTTCAGTACTCTAGATATTCCTCTGTTTATAACAATAGTGGATAGTTCTTTTATCCCATGAGAGACCAGAGATCAAAGACTATTCTAGCTCTGTTGGAATGTCAAAAAGGGGTTATGTGTTGGGGCTGTGCCCTGAGTTAGTTTCTGACATTTTGTTCCCCAGCTAGCTCTAACCTTCTCCAGAGCCCATGCACTGGAAGCACTACAGTCTTCCCTCTCCATGAAAGCCTTCCTTTCCTGGTAGTGGATTACCACCCAAAAGACTCTGTAAATAGAAAATTAATTCATGCAAAACTCCACCTCACTATTCGGTATATTTTGCTCCAAGAACTGAACTTTCCTATTGACTGTGCCTCCTTGCACCTGACTCACCATCCAACTCTGCTTCTTTTCCCCATCTTTCCTCTACTATTGAACATTCTTGTCCTCATCTTTTCCTCAATTCTTTCGTACAAGCCCTCCCATATTCAACATTAGAGATAAAGCAATTTAGTATGCAAAAAATAGAACAGATAAAGAAAAATCAAAAATTTTAATCACAACATCCAGAACTGACAAGAAAACTACCTGATACAACTCAATTTACATGATGTCTTCAGAGTCTTATACCGATCCCCTCCCCTTTTTTATCTATATACTGTTTCTTAGAAATTGTAAGACATTCAGAGCAGGGACCATGGTTTACATGTCTGTATGGCGAGATGAATGCAGGTGGTCAATGAATAATCTTGCCCCACCATCTCGCATCTACATCTCTGTTGGCAACTATTCCAGGCTCAAGATGATTTAAGTAAATTCAAAAAACTCTTTAGAGGGACCTCACACTCCATACGTGATTTACAAAAGTTGAGATTCTTGATAAAAGTGGGAAAGGTGTGGGAAAACAAAGGGAAAAGATCCAGAAACAGTCCCACAACACAATGGAAATACCCATCAACAGATTTTGAGACGGCAAGGAGCATGCATCGTATTACTATGTCTCCCTGAGAGGACAATACATTGCACTAAAGTACTTTGAAATGATCTAATAAAAGACACACAGAAGTGAATATGTATATCCCAATTTTAGATACAAAACAGGTTCTGAGACACATCTAACCGAAATCTACACATTCGGTGGTAGAGCACAGGAACAGAATCTCTGACTCCCAGTCTCCTGCTCTGTCCATTAGTCACTGGTGAGAGCTCCAGGAAAGCCTGAGAATGAATATCCTTTACACATTTCATGAGCAATACATTTTTGTAGGGTTTCTGCAAAGGGCTCTAGACTTAGCCAACTGATTGGCTGGAGAAAAGCATGAGGCAGAGCCCTGAAAAAAGGGAGGGCTAGCCAAAATCACTTCTCTCAGAAGCAGCCATCCCATTTTTTGTAGTGAAGGTCCTGAGCTTGTGGTACGCTTCCCCTAGAAAGTGTTTCCTTCAGAGATCTGTCTGAGCATCTCTTACAAGTCAGGGAGAAAAGTTCTGCTAAAATTGGTTGTCTGCTAGTCTGCCAGCATAATCACCTGACATAGATGCTTATGTTGCCTCACATTCCGTTAGAAAGCCTCCTACATCTCTCATTTGTGAAACTGCTCAAGTGAGAGTAAGCAAACCTCTGAAACATATGGGATGATATACAAGACAGCAGTACTAACTCCATCTGCTGACTGGATAAAGTTGTCCCAGAGTATCTCAAATGAGGGGAAAACTTAAAATAGTGGATTCATATAAAAATGATTCTTGCCAGGTCTTAGTAAAATAAGGAATAGCAAATACTTAGTGTGCTGGTAAGGAAAGAACGGGATAGCTT